TTTGGTACCGTCGTTTTCCTTCGCTGCAGCCGGCTGACTCCTCTCACTAGGATCACCCCTCCTGCAGTGAATCCATCCAGCTGGAACGTCTCCTCTCTTCTGAGTCCCCTTCAACCAGAGAAACGGTTAGTGGTTACTTTTCTCAGACATTTGCTCTCGCTTCTGTCTACTGCCTGGCCACTAACCGTTCTCTTCCTGTCTACAGACTCGTTCCAGCCTTTGACCCAGTGATCGACACCAGAACCAGACTCACTTTTGAGAAACGAGGGTTTCTATAATAAATTTTGTAATCTAAGTCTCTCTGTTGTGGTGATTTTGGTCCAGAGTTGAAGGGGTTCGTTACAGTCTGGGTGCTTCGCTGATCCTGCTTGGTCCTGCCTGATCCCCGTAGTCGAGCCTGGCTCGCGCCGCGGGCGTGCGCACAGCTGCAACGTCTCTGGTCCTTGGAGGCACGCTTCAAACTCCAAAAATCTTAACAGCTGATCTATGCTCGGAGCACAGCTTTACCTTCATCTACTGGTCCTACAAAGATTGCTCTAGTGAATGTGAGGTCACTGGCAAATAAAACTTTCATCTTAAATGATTATTTCTGCTCTGACGGACTGGACTTCATGTTTGTTACAGAGACCTGGCTCGTCCCTGGTGAGTTAAGTGTTTTTTCGGAACTTTTGCCGGTGGATTGTGCCTTTTTTAATGTTCCAAGGACTTCTGGTAGGGGTGGTGGATTATTAACAGTTTTTACAAAGCTCTGGAACTGCAGACAGCTACAGGCTGTAACTTTTCAGAGTTTTGAACTGCTGTATTTTGAGCTGGGCCGCTCCAACCCAACACTGTGCTGCCTGATCTACAGACCACCCTCATACAACGAAAACTTCATAAGTGAATTTTCTGACTTTCTGACTGGAATACTGCTCAACTATGAGACGGTTTTGATTCTGGGAGACTTTAATGTACACGTTTGCTGTCCTGACAAGCCTTTGATGCAGGAGTTTCTAAATCTGCTACAATCTTTCAACCTTGTGCAAAATGTTGTTGGTCCAACTCATCAACACCATCTCATGTTCATGTTTGTGCTGATGTTCAATGTTTTATGTTATGAGTGCTTAGTGTATATTTAGTTGATGTTTTTCTTAGTTCATATCTTAGATGTTATTACTGTTTTTCTTAGACATTTTATTGTTGGATGTAACTGGGACCTTGTGTACATAATTTCGCTCCACCACATGTACCACATGAGGTGCGAATGACAATAAAGAAACTCTGACTCTGACTCTGACTCTGACTGACTCTGATCAACAGGGCCGTACACTTGATTTAGTTCTGTCTCACGGTTTATCTGTGGTTAATCTGGAAATTGGGGATGCTATTGTTTCAGATCACAAACCCATTTCATTCCAAACCTCTGTTACTCATGAGTCTAAATCCCCCGCTCCAGCCAAGAGTTGTCGGATATTTAACTCTTCAACCGCTACTCTTTTTTTTCCTCTGCATTCATCACTGATGCTGCCTCAGTCCCTGAAACCTCTGCCTGTATTAGTACGCAGGAGCTGCTCAGTAGGCATGATGCGACCTGCTCTAAGATTTTAGACCTCGTGGCCCCGCTAAAAATCAGGCAACCAAAGCGGGCACCACACCCCTGGTTGAACGCGACCACTCGAGCGGCCAAACGTCTATGCAAGAGAGCTGAACGCAAGTGGCAGAAGGACAAATTACAGGTTTATTTTATTATGTTAATCAATCAATCAACCTTTATTTATACAGGTAAATCCCATTGAGCCTCGAGGACTCATTTACAAGAGAGACCTGATTTCAACAAAGAAAGATGACAACAATGGACAACAGCAACAACCATAAGCAGTTATAAAAACTCATACTACAGTTTTTTTTTTTTTTAACAAATAGGATGGCTAAAAGGAAAAAGGTAACAAAACAAAAAAAACAGCTAGATTCCAAGACAAATGTATAAAACTAACAACAGGAACATGTCTGCATTGGTCCCTGCCAGGAGTCCAACAGATTCTTAAAGCCACTTAGAGAGGTCAAGGTCGAGAGCT